ATATAAAAAATCATAAAAAATCCAAACTTGATCAGAATCACCTGAACTTCCCTACACTGCATAAGTACATGTATATGCATTGGAAAATGTAATAACATTCAGGAACTTTTCACTTGTCAATTTTATTGAAATTTCCTGAGAATCTCTGTACTATAGTACAGGGAGTTTTCTCCGATTCTGGAGCAACTATAAAAAATCATAAAAAATCCAAACTCGATCAGAATCAGCTGAATTTTTCTACACAGCATAAGAACATCAATATGTAACAGAAAATGTTATAAAAATTTACAGTGATTTTTTGGCCATTTTTGTAAAGATGGTTTGTTACTTACACTAAGTTGGCCCATTCCTTTACACAGGAGGTCTGCGCATGCACAGTAGACACCACTCAACCTTCTGCACATGCAAAGAAGTATTGCGCAATCTCCTTAATTCATTTATTAATAATACATTCTTTGAGTAATAATGACACTACTGCCATCATCACAACTAATAGTTAGCTAAATAGTCATTGTTATTGTTATAATAAACTTGATACTACACTAAAATACAGGTAAAACAGTCTACACATCACACAGTTATTAAACAACAGTCGTATGTACAGTAATGTTGTACAATTAAAAAGATATAATGAATAAAAGCTGTCCTATCTTGGTAAAAGATGATCTATCATCTTGAAAAAGAGTAAAACTTCATTAGTGTATATCAAAGTCCATCTCACTATAAATAGAACAGTAAAAACACTAATATACTGCAGTTAAAACCGTATTGTACAGTATTTTAAACCGTACTTTACCTAATTGTACATGTTCAGTAATACAGTAAAACTCATGCTTATGAGTTATACATACACATTATTATATACATTATTGATCTATAGTGTAATTACAGTTGTAATGGATGAGGTAAGCCTCCAGGATTGAGTACAAGTCCCCAATGATAGTGAAAGACGGCCCGTCGCCCAAAGCTATCAAGAAAGAAGGTCCTTTAATATTTTAAGTCCCAGCCAGAGTCAATTTGTTAACAAGAATAAGTCTCCTTGCACCAGACATCTTCACTAGTATGTAGGATGGGCCATAATCATTAACCACACCTACCAATTAACTCAGACCTCCTCAGCTCGAGCAGCTTTCAGGTTGGCCCATTCCTTTATACAGGAGGATGTGAGCATGCGCAGATCACAATTAATTGAAAGGCTAATGCAAGCCCAGGTCATGACATGGGCTTGCCCGAGGCATGCATGGGCTTGCACTGTGAGCAATCCCTTTGATGTATTGCGCAGTATCCGGTCACTAGAAGTTCCTCCTCAGCTCGAGCAGCTTTCAGGTTGGCCCATTCCTTTATACAGGGGGATCTGCGCATGCGCAGCAGCAGACAATACTGGCCACACCCACCAACCTTCTGAGCATGCTAGCTGATAATTTGAAAAGGTTGGTGGGTGTGACCAGTATTATAGAATAAAGATCCTAGTATTCTTTGTTCAAAGTTTCAGTGAGAATTGGTGTACCAAATAAGAAACCAATACTATTCTAAGTCCCAGCCAGAGTCATGATTGTAGCAAGAATAAATCTCCTGTAGACATTTCATTGGAATTAATCACTAGGAATCAGCTCAAACTTCTACACAGCATAAGTACATGTATATGCATCAGGAAGTGTAATAAAATTTAGGAATTTTCTACTTGTCAATTTTTGTAAAATTTTTGAAAATCCCTGTACTATAGTAAAGGGAGTTTTGTCTGATTTTTGAGCAACTTTAAAAAATCATAGAAAATCCAAACTTGATCAGAATCAGCTCAAACTTTCTACACTGCATAAGTACATGTATATGCATCAGGAATGGTAATAAAACTTAGAAATTTTCTACTTGTCATTTTTTGTGAAATTTTACAAAAATCCATGTACTATAGTACAGGAACTTTTGTCCGATTTTGAAGCAACTTTAAAAAATCATAGAAAATCCACACTTGATTGGAATTAGCTCAATCTTTCTACACTGCATAAGTACATGTATATGCATCAGGAAATGTAATAAAATTCAGGAATTTTTTACTTGTCAATTTTTGTAAAATTTTACAAAAATCCCTGTACTATAGTACAGGGACTTTTGTCCGATTTTTAAGCAAATTTTAAAAATCATAAAAAATTCAAACTTGATTGGAATCAGCTCAATCTCGCTACTCAGCATAAGGACATCAATATGCATCAGAAAATGTAATAAAAATTTGGAGTGATTTTTTGGCCATTTTTGTAAAGATGGTATGGTACTTACAGTAAGTTGGCCCATTCCTTTACACAGGAGGCCTGCGCAAGCGCAGTAGACACCACTCAACCTTCTGCACATGCAAAGAAGTATTGCACAATCTCCTTAATTTATTTATTAATAATACATTCTTTAGAGTAATAACGTCACTACTGCCATTATCACACCTAATAGTTAGCTAAATAGTCATTGTTATTGTTATAATAAACTTAATACTACACTAAAATACAGGTAAAACAGTTTACACACCACAGTAATTAAACAACAACAGTTAAATATCTCAGTATATACAGTAATGTTGTACAATTAAAAAGATATAATGAATATAAGCTGTCCTATCTTGGTAAAAGATGATCTATCACCTTGAAAAAGAGTAAGACTTCATTAGTGTACATCAAAGTCCATCTCACTATAAATAGAACAGTAAAAACACTAATATACAGCAGTTAAAACAGCATTGTACTGTATTTTAAACAGCACTTTACCTAATTGTACACGTTCAGTAATACAGTAAAACTCATGCTTATGAGTTATACATACACAATATTATATATACATACAGTATTGATCTATAGTGTAATTACAGTTGTAATGGATGAGGTAAGCCTCCAGGATTGAGTACAAGTCCCCAATGATAGTGAAAGACGGCCCGTCACCCAAAGCTATCAAGAAAGAAGGTCCTTTAATATTTTAAGTCCCAGCCATAGTCAATTTGTTAACAAGAATAAGTCTCCTTGCACACTAGTATGTAGGATGGGCCGCCATAATCATTAACCACACCTACCAATTAACTCAGACCTCCTCAGCTCGAGCAGCTTTTAGTTTGGCCCATTCCTTTATAGAGGGGGATCTGCGCATGCGCAGATCACAATTAATTAAATGGCTACTTTCACGGGGCATGCATGGGCTTGCCCGAGGCATGCATGGGCTTGCCCGGGGCGCAATCCCTTTGATGTATTGCGCAATATCCGGTCACTAGAAGATCCTCCTCAGCTCGAGCAGCTTTCAGGTTGGTCCATTCCTTTATACAGGGGATCTGCGCATGCGCAGCAGACAATACTGGCCACACCCACCAATTAACTCAGACTTCCTCAGCTCGAGCAGCTTTCAGGTTGGCCCATTCCTTTATACAGGGGGATCTGCGCATGCGCAGTAGACAATACTGCTCTCTATTGCCAGTCTTGTGCTAATTAGAAAATTGAGATTCCTGTCTAAACTACTAACTAAAGATACATCTACTAACCTCAGCTCACAGATACTCACTCCTAGTCTCATCACTGATCCTCTGGGAGTCTCTATTGTTCAGCAATGCCGACTACTGGAGCACCATCTGGGTCTTGAGTCCAGTGCCCTAGATGAGTGTCTAAAGGAACCTGATACTATGTTGCTATGAAGTCTAAAGACACCATACTTGATCATGACAGAAATCAACTCCTATCTAAAGCTAAGGGACACCCAACTACTACTCTTATTGGTGAAGTATCATGTGAGATTTCATGGCTTAGGACTTGGGATGAAGCTCTTGAGTCTTGACCATGGTCCTAAAGGTACCTGTACCCTACAGAAGATCATTAGAATATTAGCTCATCCATATGGTTAGAATATACACTGCTATATGTGTGGTCAGCCGTTTGATACATCATTTCTAACTCACATCCACTCAGACCACCCCATCTCGTCTCAATCATCGGTTCTGTTCACCGAGGACATTATCGACTCACTCGTGAAGGTCTCTGATGGAAGCATTGTCAAAATTAAATTTTCTTAGACCAG